CCTGCCCCTTCCCTGCCTTCCCTGCCCTGCCCTGCTCTGCCTGCCCTGCCTGCCCTGTCCCAGCCTGGCACTGCCCCACCTCACCTCCCACAGCAGCCACAGCCGGTGTGAGGGCAACGCATGCTCTGGAAATCTGGTGGGCACCAGGCTCTTCCTGCCAGGCCTTAGCGTGGGCCCAGGTGCGGCTGCACCTGCACGGAAGGGTGGCAGTCACTGCATGCTGGTCTTGCAGCTGGGACACGCTAGAGCAGCATTACAGGAGCTGGAAGGAGCCTACAAGAAAGCTAGGGAGGGATGTTTTGTAAGTGCGCAAGACAAGGGATAATGGTTTTAAACTGGAAGAGGGTAGATTTAGGATAGACATTAGGAAGAAACCCTTAACTGTGAAGGTGGTGAGACGCTGGAACAGGTTGCCCAGGGAAGATATGGATGCCCCATCTCTGGAAGTATTAAAGGCCAGGTGGGATGGAGCTTTGAGCAACCTGGTCTAGTGGGAGTTGTTCCTGCTTGTGGCAGGGGGGTTGGAACTAGATGATCTTTAAAGTGCCTTCCAACCCAGACCACTCCATGATGACCTGATAGGGTTTTGAATCGCAAAGGAGGCAGCAGCAGGGAGGCTCCTGTGTTGACAGCCAGCCTCAACATACCCTTAAAATGTGCTCATCTGTTCCTTGTGTGTCATGTGTCGGTGCTCATCTTCTTGTGTCTTGTACAGTGATTTGCCATTTTCCTGTCTTATTTGAGCCTGGGACTAACTTAGGGAGGCAACAGAAGGAGTGCAGGGGCTTAGTGCCCAGACAGGGCTGACAGCAAAGGTACAGTGAATGTAAAGTTAGAGATAAAACCAATGTAAAGCAAATAGCTATTTACTCTGCCAGAAGGCAAGTGCTCAGGGCAGGCTTCTAGACAAAAGTAAGGAAAAAAAAAAACCCAAATATGTCTTTTAGACTGCAAAAATTTGTTGTTGCTTTCAATTACATTTGTGCTAAGAAAAAATACTATCACTACCTGCAAAGCTGTCTCTTAGGCCACATGGCTAGAACAAAACTACTGCTATGAGACTCCAGGGCCATACTGACACAAGACCGGCAAATCATTTAATATGCACGACATGCTATAAGGCTCTAACAACTTGGCAAAGTAATCCTGCACAAATGCAGTCACTGGCTGTGAATTCACACATTGCATTGCACTTCTTCCCAAATCTGAGACATGTTTTCTATGGAGTATCAGAGAAGCACAGAAGGGGAAGGAGCCCCTTGACCTCTGCTTAAGATCACTGACCAGTCTCTCCGCAATCATAAATAACCAAGGTACATCTAAGCCTTTTCATAGGATAATTCAAATGAGGGGAAAATGCTATTCTACACTCTAGGAGTGTTATAATAATGGCAAAATACTGAGTTCAAAGCCAGCTATTTAAAAAATGAAACATACTTAAGCATTGTGTAAGATCTTCACAGTTAGGTTTTACCAGCTGAGAGCATGCAGTGGCTGACAAGAAACCATCTCCCTCATGTAAGATCAGTCAGAAATGGTTAATGTATCTATCTGAATGAAAGATATACACCCACAAATAAAACAAACAGATGAACCCATAACTTATCTGTCCCGTGAGATTAGGTTCAAAGTTCATGCTCTCAGGAAAAGAAACCCTCACCCAGTACATGTTAAACTGAGTTCTATTTGATAGCCACTGTCAATGGCAAATATACAAGCATTTGTTCTCAGCTTTTACCTTTACAAAGATTTTCTTAATAGAAAAAAATAATTTTTCAGTACAACTGAAGGTTGCAATTTTGATCCTATAAAATGATGATATTTTTTTTCTTTTAGTAAAAATTTAATTCCATTTAAGTGCAAATTTCACTTAAGATATGACATTGGTGTCCAGTTTTCACAGCCAGCAACACTATGACATACATTTTACCTGTTTTTTCATGTAAAGATAGGAAAAAACTCTGCAAAAAAGTACTACAAGAGTACAAAGTACAAAAAAGTACTACAAAAAGAGTACTACAAGTACGACAAGAAGTCAAAAGTACACCTTCTAGTAAGGAAAGCTAATTCCTTTTACATGGATGTCACCAACATGGATGAAAAGTGGTCAGAACTCCTACACAATATTGAACACAAATTATATTTTTAATATCCTAATCTTCCAATTAAATATCCTGAAATAAATGTAATAAGTGTAATAAGTAAATTTAAGTGGAAATTTTAAATATGTTTAAGCACAGACAATTATTTATTTATTTTACTTTTGTAAATCCGGTTCATGATGATGAAAGTACAGATTAGTAAGACTGAATTTGGCAAATACTTAAAACTGACAGGTATTTTAAACTCAAAATGTTAATAAAAGCACAATACACTATTTCCTAAAAGTAAAATGTTATTTTATCATATAAAATGAAATAAAAAATTCAAGGCTTTTGTAACTACTAGAACCTCTGTCTATAGCAATATTTTGCTGTGGGAAACCTCATCTCTGAAATACACGTACATTTATGGAACTGCATTCCCTAATGGATATAGCCACAGGGACAAATATGAAAGTAGAATGAACATCCACTATTAAACTTGTAATTATTTATCTGAAAACTAAATAAAAATGTCTTCAATATTTTTATATACCATTTGTTTACCAATGTTATTTACATTTGTTTCTTGTAATTCTATTGTGAAATCCCCTCTTACTTACAAGACTGAGTATTGGTAGAAATGGTAGGACCAGAAGAGGGAGCTCAAATTAATATTTTTATTTCAGTTAAAGCAGTGTGTTACAGTGCAGAATTTAAAGGTAAAGCTACTTTATAAACATTCATTAGACACTTTGATATACTGTGCATTTAAATTAAAGTAATAGATCAACCTCTCTGACTAGCATCTGTAGTAATGGCAGTATGGCTTAGAGCTAAGGTAAATGGCCTTTTTTAATCCTTTAATTTGGGCAACTGAGCATTCCATTTGCTTCTCAGATTCCAGCTGCCTCCATCAGTCACTGTATGACCTGCATGCACTCCCAAGAACTCTCCTTCCCTCCCACAGCTCATACCTGAACAAAAAAGCAAGTTGCCCTGCATCAAATGCATTCAGTGTCACCTCTCTTCCTCTGCCAATCAGGCACATAAAGGCATCAGGCACATACAGGCATTCTCCCCACAGATAATCAGAGCATTTCAAGCTTCTCCCAACTCTTGCTATCAAGTCTCAGTATGTGCATACCACCTGGAAAGTCTTTAGTCCAAGAGACATCTTCAAGTATTTTTAAGGACAAACCGACTTACACCTCTGTTTTCAAAGAAGAAAAAGTTCAGGCTCTGCTTTTGTCTCCTAATTGCAGCCTCTGCCAGTTATTCTGTACCACGTTCTTGCTGTGCTGCTTCCCAGATTTAAACCACCACACAAAGTTACCAAATTTTAAATTTTCCTGTCACCTATCTCTAACACAACATATGCTGCCACAGCTATGAATATGGACAAAGAAGACAAGGGCAGAACATCTCCCTTCTTGAGGGATTCAGTCTGTGTTGTATTAGACATGAGGAAAGACTATCTGTTGGGAAAATAACTTCATCTCAAGCACTATATAATTATTTGTTTACATGCAATAAATAGCATATCCATTCCCACTTCATGTGGTCAAAAGTTCAGTGTAATGGAGTTGTTATGGGCAGTGTCAGACAAAAAGAATCAGAAGAATAGTACCATTATGGGGTAAAGTATACAAGCAGGATCCTTTCAAGTAGCTAGCAAATATGTATGGAGATGGGTTTACATGCATTCAGAACTTTGCATGTAACAAATATTTGTATGTTGGCAAGAACAGAGTCTAGAAAAGTGAGAGAAGGGTATGTTTGAATTTTATATAAGGGCAATGAAACAAATAGAAAGAAAAATAACACATTTAAATAAAATATTAACGTCAATATTAACAAATAGTTTAAAAAAAAACAAACCAAAAATAATAATAACATAACTAAATTGTTATTATTTTAACAAATCCCACCAGATAAAAATCCACTAGCAAGATGAGTTCTAAGGACTCTACAGATAAAGTGCATAAAAATCTAAGAATATTTAATATATTTTCTTTGTCCTACTACAGTGTAATGCTTAAATGCATGCTTATTCTCTGAGATCTTTAATAACAGTTTTTTTTAATCTCTAATTCTTACTTTCCATTCTCAAAGGGGTATCTGTGTAACAATTCTGGACATTAAAGATGCATTGATTAACATACCAATTTTATTACAAGATAATTAAATTTAATTTCAGCAATAGACCAAAACAGCAGATGAAAGAAATGAAAAAATACAAGTATGCAGGTAGGCATAACAAAAAATACAATTACAACAATTACAAAAAACACAACAATTACAACAATTAACAAAAAATACAACAATACAACAATTAACACAGGGCCATATAATAAATACTTCTTTATTAATATCATGGGTTCTTTGATGGCGCCGGACTCTTCTCTTTCCGTTTAGCAGCCTTTTCCTTTTTCAGCTGTAACAAGGAAAGACACCAACAGTGATCCAAGCATTAATTTTCAGGTTGGCTAGTAATGCAATATTAAATCTCTACATCCACTCATAAATTTACCAGGATGATACATGCAACGGAGAGAGAGAGCTCATTGTTAGCCCAACCTAGCACTGGTTACTTGTGCATCACAGGACAAAGGAGCCCTTCCATAGCTCTGCAGCTCCTCCACTATTTAAACCAGGGATGCCTTTATCTCTGATAATGGCAATCTAGGTATTTATGTATCCCTCAAGACAAAAGTGCTTCACAACGTTCCCAGTTTTATCTTTATGTCAATGAAAGGTAAAGAAGTTTTATTACAGATGTGTAACAGGCACAGTTAGACTAACCATCAAGCACAAAATCAAATAGGAAGTTTGTTGCTGAGGTAGATGCTAAGCCTCCACCTCATTGTCTCCTCAGTGACCCACAAGGTCACCTCTTCCTCGCCTAAGATTTTTCTACACAGTATGCTCTTATAGCATGATATGATTTACCAACACATATACTGTAACTCTGCCATGTTGTAGGAAGACAATTAATCCAAATAAATTTGATTTGTTGTTTTTAGAAGGAACAGTTGTTCTCAAGTATTGTTAAATTAATGAATTAAACTCTGTTTAGAAAATGAGAGAAAAGGGATGCATAGATTTTTGCATCTCATCTAACCTAAGATACTATGTCATTATCAAAAATACAAGGAAAAATAAAGTAGAATTTTAACTTTTTTGCCAATGAAATAATGTCAAAAGGAAGCAAGGCCCCAGTCCCGATTTGGATGTCTACAAATGAGCACACTGCTAAACAATCCTATTGTTGGCCTACTCAGGAACTACTTTTAAAACATTTTTTCCATATTTGGCATCTTGAGATTTGCATCTGAAATTCCTACTGTCTTTTGCAAAGAAAATCAAATCCTGGGAGGAGAAAGAAACAGCAATTTGGATTTGACAGTAACATGCTTTCTCCTCTATTTACTACACTGCACGACACTACACTACACTTACTAGACATATTGTATTTGTAACATCTTACCATTTTTTGTGATGATTTCCAAAACAAAGAAAATTATTTAAAATTTTAAAAAGCTGTAACAGCTTTCTCATTAACAAACACCTTGGAGCAAGCAGTGAGCATGAACCGTATTTAAGATTTTAAAAGTATGTAACGTTGCCTTACAAAAGAATTCATAAACAGTCAAGACATAAGTCCAGCAAAGGGTGGAGCTAAGGAGCTAATGTTGGGAAACAGTAAGTACTTAAGCATCTAAGTAACCTACACCACAGGGCATTTCAATTTCCAGTACAGTCAGTGGGGTAGAGGAGGCACCTCTAAGGGGGTGATTCAGATCATCTAAGAAAGATGCACCAGATTTAGCCCAACTACACAGACATTTTGTAAGGGAAAAGAACATGCATTTTTATAAATGAGGTAGCGAACACACATTCCTGAATGTGACAAATTACTTTCTATGAGGCTGCTTTGCTGTTTCTTTTTGTCACATAGCAAAATATTTTAGTGTTCTGTAATGGAGAGTTACCTCAATAAAACTTTGTCCAGTTAATGTTAGTACCATCCCAGACATGACTGACCTATGAAATCTTGCAATAGTTCATAGTTGTATTTAAAACTTTGAGAAGATACTGTTTTCTCAGGAAAAGAACAAATTATATAATGCATTTATATGCCACATAAATTATACATTTATCTTTTTTAAACATCCCCTTGTGAAAATATATTTGAATTAAGTAATAAATGTAGTAACTTGCCCGTTCTTGATAACGTTTTTCAAAGTAAGCCATGTCATCATCTTCTGAATGCTTTCCCTGAGAAATTTGCCTTGTGGCACTAGAACTACCTGAAGAAAGAAAAAAAAAAAAAAAACACACCTTTTTTTAATATATGATACTAGCTATTCTGTAAGTTAAGTTTTACATTTGGCAAACCACATTTTATATGAGAATTCACCTTTATAGGCAAGTAACAAATCCTAGCAACTGGGACCAAAGAGTAACCTCTCTAGTCTAGCCTAGCAGCTATTGTAAGTAGTCCAGGACAATTTTAACAGTTACATTAATTGCTAAATTCTTGTACTGGAAAAGGGACATAAAGTAAGCATAGCCAATTCGTAACTCCATGCAGAGAAGACTTTCTGGCAGAGGCAATTTCACAGGATTGTGCTGAATATGTACGATTCATTCAGATACGCTGAGATTCTAGTAGGAATTAAAAATTCAAATAACTCATCCAGTGAATGAGTGACACGATTAATGGAGAAGAAACCAAACACTAGAAAAACATCACTAAAGTCAAAAAGTACCTCATGACCAAACATAACAAGCAGTAGCAAAACAGTTACTCTACACACTTCAAGCACATTAATGTTGTACTAACTTATAACATAACAAGGGCTCAATATTAATTTTAATTTTTAAATTTTATTTTAGCCCTAAGCCTCCTCCAAGTCATAAATAAAACAAATTAAATGTATATCATATACTTCTTGTAAAACAGTATTATCTTACTAATGCAGCACCTGCTATCTGTGAGGTGGTTTGAGCAGAACTAGAAGGTCCCTGAAAAGCTTTTAGAAATGGATGATCCATGCTGGTAACAGGGGCTTCTAAAAGTTCAGCTGAAGGAGCCCCTGTTAGAAAACAAGTTGAATGAAAATAAATATTAACTTCTTGAGATATACTAAGAATATATACAATCAGTCAAACCAAGGTTACAGATTAGTATCTACAACACTCAGTGCAGGCTATATGAACTTGAGTTTACAAAAGCAAAAAAGGCTTCAAAATAAATTAAAATCTTTGTTTCTTCAATTACTACAGCTATGCTATTGTTTCTAAACTTCAGACCAATCCAGGAAAGAATTTTAAAAAATAAATACTAAGTATGTGGCAATAATAAATTAAACACCATTTCAGGACAAAATGAGTCTGTTACTAAAAGAGACAAAATCACAGAGCAGCAGAGATATCGAGGCCAACTAATATGCCTGTCAAAAACAAAGTTCTACAAAGGACCTCTTTTTTTTATATGCTGAAGAGCTGTTAACATTTGAGTTTGGGGAAAACATGCTGTAATTGTATAACTAAGAAATACTCAGGCAAATTAGGTTAAAGATTAACAAAAACATAACTCTGTATTAAGCGAAAAACGGAAGTTACAGAGTTCTTTCTAAAATATATTCTCCACTTCAACCAGAAGCCACTGGGCTGAACACCAGAATTATTGATAAATTTTTTACCAATACACTACAGGAAGTTGGACAAGATGGTCATAGTGGTCCCTTCACACCTACGGACTGCTGGAAAAAAAATTGTCTTAAGCCCAACTCTTTTTGATCCAGCTTGCCTTCAGACTTAGAAAGTCTATGCTGAATTACTACTTTTCAAAACTACTCAGTTGGAGAATTAAAATTTCATCTCGGGTCAGCTGCACTTACCTATTCCACTGTCATCAAGTCTCATGTAGCCTTCTGCTAGTGAACTAAAACCAGTCAGTCCTCCCATAGCAGCATAAGGAACATCCTGCCCCACAGGCTTTCCTTGGGCTAAGCGCTCTTGTTTAGTTTCCACGACTGTTTCATGAGCGTATGTTGGCTGCCCACATGCACAGGTAAAGCAACTATGAAAGCCCGAACACTTGGAACCTAATTAATAAATAAATAAGTATAATGAGTGACACGATAATAGAGTTTATACTTCACTACAGGAAAACCAGTGTTGCCCTAAACTAATCATGTCAAAAACTTGCAGTTCCTTCACTGCAAAACCATCTAGCTATGGTTTCTATTTGGAAGAATGTATGTGATTTGAGGCAAAGCAATTGAATGTCTTTGCTGAAATCTTTTATAGCATCATGGTATGAAAATGCTGCATAAAACAGGGAAAAGGATGAACGTGGAATTTGGCTCATAGGGTTCATCCAGTCTCAGGGTCTCATTCAGACAAGTTTTTAGTACCTTGAAGGATGGGGATTCCACCTCTCTGAGCAGCCTGGACCAATGTTGGTCTTTTCAGGGAGCAGATATTTATTTCCTAATATCTAATTGGATTTCCTGTGTTGCAACTTGTGTCCATTGACATTAGTAACCCCCTTCTCTACCCCTCCCCTGATGAAAAATAAAGAGAGAAAAAAATTCTGTCACTGAGTAAAGGCAGCAGCCTGCCAGCATCTTGGCAGTATTATCTCCAAAGGTGTACAGCACGTGTCAATGTTGCACGGCCACAAAACTTCAAATCACAATTTATTATACAAACCACAATTTAAATGTATTTTTAAATTAACAAAATTATCCACATAGCAAACAGAGGCTGCAGCAACAGGAAAGAAGGATCTATGTAAGAGTACCACGAGACAGACTTTCAGCGTGGTTTTAAGCTTACACAGCCACAGGACGTAACTGAAATAAAATAGTTATACCAATACTTATACAAATGATATGTGACATTCAGAAACAGAGAGTGAAGCGATACACCTGCCCTAGCCACAGCTGAGACTGTCATCAAAGCTCAGCTGGACCAATGATGTGAATGAGAAACTGAGGAACTGATTTTGCAAATGTTTCATTATGCAAATCACCCTGCTTCCAACTCCCAGTTACAGTTCATTTTGCAGAGCAAAAAGAAAGTTTTTAGAGTTTTGGGTAAAATGTTCAAGGATCACACTAGTGGACATGTTAAAGGCTTTTTTCTTTCATTGTGGCTGGGCACTCCTCAATAACAGAGCTCTTAACTCTGTGCTTGGATACAGAATGAAGTATATAAAGTACACCAGCAATATTTTTTCAATTATAAAGAGATTACATATCTAATTTATCTATCATATTAGATTCATACAGCACTAGTCTTGACTAATACTGGTACATTAAAACAACACAAGTTCAAAATAGAAGCAAGTCTTGGCATTTCCCTCTGCAGTCTTTGAAGCCCTCGTGTCAGGTATTTTTGAGAAACACTAAAAAAAGTGCATAATGTAAATTATTATTAAAAACAGTGTGTTCAAAGGATTCAGTCTGGATCATCCAATTGCATATTTAAGATGTTCGCATTACTTGGAGCTAATTCTTGAAAGGCTGTCATATAAATGTTTTACATTTTATTCTGTGCGATACTATTCTCACCCAGCAAAAGCTTTTTATGGTTTTTCCTGTGCAAATGAGACAGACTTCATGAGAGACATTTACTAACAGTACAGAACTCTTAACAAAAAAAAATCTTCAGCTTATGTAATTTGAGGTTTCAAACTAAAACATCTTTATGCATTATGTAGTTTCTATGGTTAATAATTACTACTGTTGCATTACAATAACTTCAAACAAATGAAGCAAAAAGCTTCCTCGTAATGCCTTCTCAAACCTTTTGCTTGAAACTCCATTCCCATTTGCATTTCTGGACTCACAATCTGTGTGCTCAGGAACTGCTTTGTTCAGAGTGCCAACAATAGTACTATTTGGGAACAGAGCGTTACCTCCGATTGAGTTGAGAAAAGATAAAAAAATACATTAACATTCAACCAGGCTATAGTGGAACAGAGATCAACACTTCTCTCTGTCAGACTACCAAGTTCAAGTAGGAAAGTCACGTGCATGCAGCAGTGGAAGTGACAAACTGCAAATGGGGTGATTTCATACTGCCTAACGTTGGGTGGCTGTCTCCATATGTACCTAACTGAATCATCCAGAAGCTTACGCTCCCTCACAGAACTTGGGGAAGTGAAGGACGCTGTTCTAAACCCTCCTGTGCAAAAGGCAGTTTCTTCCTTCCCATTTCCCATCCTTCTGCAAGGACCAAAATACACGAGAGAAAAGTACAGCACATACCTAGTATTCTGGGAGGAATATAGATCCCTAACATGCTGTTCCTGTTAAGTTTCCTAGCAAAGAATGGTGCGAGACCAGCAGTAACTTACAAGAGTTACATGAAAACCCAGGTGCCGCGCTGTGCTGATCAGCAAAGTGTTTGCATCTGCAACGGATGGGCTGTGTGCCATTCAGAGGGACATAGTGAAAGGACTGGCATGGGCATCGGCTCACTCTACAAGGCACACAAATAGGACGGTCTTCAGGAATCACTTCATAGTCCGTTTTGTGTTGTTTATACCTAAACCAGGCAAAAATAATAACTTTTATAACTTTGTTAGTGTTCATCAGCAAACTAACTGAAAAGCTTAAAATTAATAGAATCATAACATAGCTTAGGTTGGAAGGGACCTAAAGATCATCTAGTTCCAACTCCCCCTGCATTCTTACAAGTTCTGTTTTAAAGTATCTTTAATTACATTAAATGAAGTTAATTGTTAATTTTCAATTAAAATATTAATTCATTACATAAATACCACAAATCCTTATGTTTCATTTTTACAGCCCTATCAGAATCAATCTGATCTACTTATGCCTTAAAGTTGAATTTACTGAAGACTAAAAAATCATGTTGGTTTCAGAAAATGTATTGAGATTTAGATTTAAAAGCAGTTATTATTTAAAACCTAATTTTCTCAACCAAATTTTAACCCAGGCCTTAAATTAACTTGCCTGTGCTGCAATGGATCTGAAAAGATTTTATGTTTTCCTAAAAATAGAACAGTTCACAAAAAGGAAGAACTTCCTACCGGTGAGTACAAAAGCACAGTGTCTCTGGTCCCACAAGCTTACAGTCCATGCCAACTGGTGATCTCCAGCTCACATACAACCTGTTCTTCAACCGAATTGGCAACACTTTTCTTTTGTACTCTTCGTATTCCTCAGGGGTAAAGAGCTTTCCTCCATCATCATCACCTACAATTCTGTAAGCATGTCATAAAAAAACCATAAGAAAAGGAAGACAAGAAAAGTAGAGTTCTCAAGATATTTTTTTCAAATAATACATGGCAACACTTTTGCTGTAAATGCAAAAAAACCTTGTATTTCATAATACTGTTTCAGTGATATACATTCTAATAGAATGATAGCTGAATTTTAGAGCAATTTTGTGAATGATGGTCTTTTTAAAAAATTTGCTCTGACAGACTGAGAGCCAGGGTTGTAAGAGAGAAGGAAAAAAAAACTGAGCAAAATACCAAGGTCCTTCTCATACGGCAGAAAAAGCAAAGGGCATCAAAAGTTGTGTAATAAGCCAGCTCTGCCTCAGACTTCTTGAATGACCTCAGGCAAGTCACCTCATCCATCTACACCCAACTGCACTGCAGACCTGCTTGTATCAGGTTATCCCACCTTTGTCTGTCCGAGACTATTCATAACCACACTGCCATCAAAGTAACCAACAGTACATCCAAGCTGTCTTCCCCTTTGCAAGAAGACGACTCCAGTTTCTGTGCATCAAGGTGATGGCTGCTGTATCCCACACCTCCCACAGGCCCGTTTGTTCCAGCTATCCCTGTGTTCAAATTCCAAGTCACAATAGCTGGAGCTCCAGAGCAGCACCCAAATGCCACATTTCTTGAAGCAACTTAGGACAGCAAGTAAAAGCTGCAAAATACAGTTTAGACTTAATTGCAGCATTTGTATTAATGTCTGGAAATAGTTATGATTTGTTGGGTGTGCTAAGACATTCTGAGTAAGGGATTCTTTGCCAAACGTTCTGTGGGTTTGCACATTGCAGAGCACCAGAACAAGGTGCCAACACCTTACTTAACGTGCCTGCCAGCCCAGCCAACACCCGCTGCACCCGCGGTAACTGCTGACACAGGAAACACCCCCGCGCCTCCAGGTTCTACTCCAGGTTTCCCTGAGCTAAGTTAAGACCACGTTTCAGTGCAGTGACTTGGAGCGTTTGCTTATTTCTGCTCAAGAACAACCCCTTCGAGAGAAGCCACGAGCGAAGACACGTTAGGAGCGGACGGGCAGGCGTCTCCAGGCTGCGCTTCCCGAGGGAGCGGCGCGGGGGGCACAGACCCCGGCCTGCGGGGCGCGGCTCCGCTGCGGGCGGGCAGGGCCTACA